CCAAGGGCCGGCTGTGGCGCCAGCGCTGGTGTGCCCAGCACCTGGCTGACAACCGGGTCAAGACCACCAAGTACACAGTGCTGTCCTTTCTGCCCAAGAACCTGTTCGAGCAGTTCCACCGCCTGGCCAACGTGTACTTCGTCTTCATCGCGCTGCTCAACTTCGTGCCGGCGGTGAACGCCTTCCAGCCCGGCCTGGCGCTGGCGCCCGTGCTCTTCATCCTGGCCGTCACGGCCTTCAAGGACCTGTGGGAGGACTACAGCCGCCACCGCTCCGACCACGAGATCAACCACCTGGGCTGCCTGGTCTTCAGCGGGTGAGCTCGGTGGGCTGGGCGGGCGAGCGCGGGGTCCGCGCAGGACCTGCGCTCCCGGGAACTTGGTGTTGGGCACAGTGTGAGTGGTACCCGCCGGGAACGGCTCGCTCCACGAGGCGGCTCTGCGCCCTGGCCGCAGCTAGCGGGGAACCCTAGATGCCGGGGCATGTGGGGACGCCATGTCCCGGATTGCCCCTCGGACCCCGTGTCTGAGGTACAATGACCCCAGGGCTGGAATTTGGTGGCAGCTGGGCATTCTCATTCTCAGCAGCTCCCGCCTTGTGAGTAAAAAGGAGGGAACTCCGACCCGGGGCGCATCCCAGGTGCCTGCCTCAGTCCTTGGCCAGGCACAGTGGGCCAGGATGTTTAACAACCAACACAGGGACATAAAGCTGGTCTCGGGACAAGGGAGTGAAAATGCCAAGTTCTGAGGTGCCCTGCCCGGATAGGACAGAAGGGCAAGGGTGAAAACAGCAGTGTCCATCTACCGATGTGAGCTGCGAGCATGCCGCAGACCTGGGCACTGCCCCATAGCTGCCTGTTTCATTTTCTTAAACCTACCCCAATGTCAGATGGAAAGAGGCTTTGAGGGCTTTGCCAGCCCTGCCATGGCTAGTACCAGGAAGTGACCTTCCAATGGGCTTCTTCTTTTCTCTCCCTGCACTTCTCCAGAGTTTTGGACTCTCGGGGTGGGAATGTCCAGGATGCCTACTGCCTCTTCTCCTTTTATAACCCCCACCCCAAGAGGGCCACTGGACTGTAGATCCATCTTAGAGCTGTGGTCAGTAGCCGGAACCACCTTGAGGTCCCACCCCTGAGGAGGGCAGGTGGTCTCAGCCTCCACCCAGAGCTCAGCCCCTTTCCTGCCTGTTTCACCTGGCTTGACCCCTGCTATAGGAACTGAGATGGGCCTCGGAGTTGGAGAACACGAGTGGTGTCCAGCTTCCATCATGAATGAGGTGACCCTAGGAAGCTCCTTGTCCTCTCAGTGACAGGTTGTTCCCTCTAAATGATGACAGTCACAGTTGCTCCTTTCTCTTAGGGTAGCTTAGGTAAAGAACATGAATGCCTGTCCCCGCACTTGAGTATCTCTGATCCTCCAGCAACACTGCAGAGGTTGTGCTTCGAATTTACTTTGATATAAACAAAGAGGAAATAGAGGTTCAGAGAGATTAGTAACCTGCAAGGCCACACCACTGCTATGTGGTAGTGCTGGGATTTGACCCAGCTCTTCTTGTCCGTATATCTTTTTAAATATTTGTGTGCTTATGCTTCTCAAACTTTTATAAGAGGAGTTTGTTAAGAATAACAATTCTGCAAAGTTTTTGACCCAACAGGTCTGGGATTGGGCCCAGGAATTAGCAATGGTGGCCTGTTTGCCCTCAAGAGGTGCCCGCTGGCCAGTCAGCAAGTATGATGTCAATGGAAAAGGCTGTGTCTGTTCACCAGGAGCCTCAGCAGGCAGGGAGGGGGCACCCCTTACAAAAATGCCCTCAGTGTTCCCAGAGTGAGGACTCCAAGCAGCCATAGGTCTGTCCTCTGTACCGCATAACCCTGGTGGGGTGCTAGCAGGTTTAAGACTGCACACATACCATTTCCTGTTATTACTGGGTCTATAACTTCTGTGGCCTTCTTTTCATAAATACTTAGGCCTCAGGAAATATAGTTTATTTTCAGTTGACAAAGTGCTTTCAACAGATTATTGTCATTTGATCCCGATAACAAGCCCCCACCACCATCTTGCAAATGAGAAAACTGAGGCTGGAGTCTAAAAGCAGCTCCCTTGACTCCATGACCTTTGCAGGGCTTCATGGAATTCTGAGACCTCAGCTTCCACTTGGACCACACCCGACAAGGTTCCCCACCTCCCCTTCCCTTCCCTTCCCTCTCACCCAACTGGATTTCTGAGCTTTCGGTACAGTCCTCAGGCGGGTCCTCAGGATAATGGTGCTTTCAGGAGAAGTTCCCCAGCACCTCCCAGCCCCCAAGTCAAATTACTTGCATACTTTCCTGGGGAGGGAATGGGCCTTCTACCTGGGAAGGATCCGTGGGAACTGTTCTTGGCAATTGTGAGAGCGGTGGGAGTTGTGTGTCGGGAGGAGGCAGGACCTGACTTAGTGTCTTAGCTCCACCTCAGACCCTGTCTCCTTCCCCACTGCAGAAGCTGTTGGCAGCTTTCATTCTTCCATTCTCCTCCCCACTCCCTTGAGGACAGTCGGCCCAATGCCTTCTTCTACTCACTGTTCCCCAGGAAGGCAGGTCCAATTCTTCCTGTCCCAGAAAGTCTGGAATTGGTGTTGCCAGGTCCTGGGGATGGCAGGAAGAGGAGGCTAGGTCCCACCCAGAGCTTACTCTAGGGACTGCTTGCTCCGTGGGGTGTGTCCACAAAGCGAGGGCAGGGCTCCAAGCCCAGGGGTGCAGAAGGCACATCAGGAGAGGCCTCCCAGACGAGGCAAGAGTCTGGGGCTGCAGTGTGAGGACCAGGGTGGCTGTGAACAGGTGAGGGCAGGGAGGTCAGATGCTACAGGAGAAGGATTATAGGGGAAGGAGTGGCACGTGACAGGTCAGGGCACTGAGAGACTGGGAACAGGTTATAGCAGGAATGATGTCCCTACTAGTATGTCAGGGTGTGGGGCACTTGCACAATTTATTCTCTTTCCAACAATTCTATCATTTTCACATCCCCATTTCACAGATGAGGAAACAGGCTTCCAGGCTCAATAGCTTGCCTAAAGTCATACTCTCAGCAGATGGCAGTACCATGATTTGACCCAGTTCCATCCTGCTCTCCCTATTCAGAGTTACTCCCTTACTTGTCACCCCATCCCAAGAGCAATGTCCCTCATTCAAAAAATTACTACTATTGTTGTAGAAGGTTTCACAGATAACCTGAACTTCTGTGCATGCACCCATCATCCAGTTTCAACATTAACAACTCACGGCCAACACGGTTTTATCTGTATTCACTCTCTCCTCCCTGTTATTTTGAAGCGAATCCCAGAAAGCGTGACATTTCATCTGTAAATGTGTCAGTATTTGTCTTTAGAAAAACATGACTCTTTTTAAAACTAAACTACAAGGACCACTGTTATCATACCTAAAAAATATATTATTAAATATCTGGTCTGTGTTCATATTTCCACTTGTCTCATGAATGTAATTTTTTTCAATATGTACAAGGGTACTTTTAAAAGTTCATGGAAAAATTGAATTAGAAGATAATACAAATCCTTCCATGAACTTTTTGACTACCCATCATATGTTTGAATCAGATCCAAACAAGGTCTACTTTTTGCATTTGGTTGATATATCTGTTAAGTCTCCTTTGACCTATAGATTTCCCCTCTAAAACTCCCTTTCTCATTCTCTCTTTTTCCTTTGCAATTTATTTTGAGGAAATTGGTTGTTTGTTCAGTGTGGTTTCCCACTGCCGGAGTATTGCTGATCACTTCTGTGTGGTATCGTGTAACATGTTTCTTTCTCCTGTAATTCCTGTAAAGTGGCAGGTGGGTCTGTACCCTTTCTCAGAGCTTCGTCAGGTTGAGGTCAGGCTTGCAATTTTTTTTGGTCAAACCATGCTCATAGGTGGTGTCCTGCACTTCCATCAAGACACACACAGTCCTCACTTGCCCCTCTTTTTTGTGATGTTGACAGCCATTGATGATCATTGCCTACATCCATTGATTTGTTAAAGGTTGCAAAATGGTGCTGCTCTAATCCCCTCATTTATTATCGGGAACACTTTTACAAAGAGACAGTTCCCATCATCTGCTACCTGGTTTCCCAGAGAACGTACAGTGCATGTACAAAAGGAAAGGTAAGTAAGTGTGTCACGTTGGATCACCAGGGTCTTCCAGTGGGAACCCATTCACTTTCTAACATTTTTAAACTTTTTATTTTCAAATAATTTTATATTTACAGAAAAGTTGCAAAAATAGTATAGGATTCCTGTCTACCCCTCACCCACCTTTCTCTAAGGAACATTTTACTTATCTGTACCACAGTAGCCAAAAGTAAGAGATTAACATCAGTATAAAGCTGTTAATTAAACTACATCCTTACTTTAGGTCGAAAAGGTTTTTCCATTAATGCTTTAATGAGTTGTGGTCACTTGGTTTGCATACTGATTTTGTATTTTGTGGATTTCATGTGCTTTTCTATTTACATTTATATCATCTTTAAATATAGTTTTACTACTCCTTTTCCAACCAGTTGCCTTATTTTTCTTTTTCTTGTCTAATTTTCCTAGCTAGAAGCCCCAGTACAATGTTGAATAGAAATGGCCAAAACAGGCTTTCTTGTCTTGTTTCTGATCATGGGAGGAAATCATTCAGTCTTTCACCATTAAGTATGATTATACCTGTGGGTTTTTATAGATGTCCTTTATCAGGTTGAGGTAGCTCCGTTCTATACCTACTTGCTGAGTGTTTTTATCGAGAAAGGATGTCGGATTTTATCAAATGCTTTTTCTGTATCTATTGAAATGATCATGGTTTTTTTTGTCTTTTATTCAATTAATACGATATTTGAAATTGATTAATTTTCAAATATCAAACCAATCTTGGATTCCTATGATAAATCCTAGTTGGTCATGCAGTATAATTTATTTTTGTATATTGCTGGCTTCAGATCACTAGAATTTGTTGAGGATTTTTACATCTGTATTTATATGGGATTTTGGTGTATAGTGTGTACGTGTATGTTTGATTGTGCTATCAGGAGAACACCCTGTACTGGCTTCATAGAATGAGTTGGGCAGTGTTCCTACTATTCTCTATTTTGGAAGGAGTTTGTGAAGAAGCGGTATTAATTCTTTATTAAACGTGTGGAGGAATTCAACACTGAAGTTAATTTTTTCCAGTCTAGACCTGGGCTTTTCTTTGTGGGGAGTTTTAAAATTACTAATGCAATCTCTTCACTTGTGGGTCAGATTTTCTTTTTCTTCTTGAGTCAGTTGTGATGGTTTGTGTCCTAGATATGGACAATTTTATCCATTACCT